CCCCCCCCCCATGCTTTTGGGATGGCTGTATCAGTATTGGTCGGGAACTTCTCTCCATTGAGTCTTAAATGAGTCTGTAAACAAAAAAAACAAAAAACAAACAAACAAAAATGAAGGAAAAAAGGTTCAGATTACTTTTCAGAAACACATAACAAGTTTGGATCCTTACCTGCTTCTGCAGCAAAAGGATCATCCCTTTGCCTGTGCACAATTTAATAAGGCCTTGCTTACACCAGTGGAAGAAACTGTGAGGGAAAGTTCAGCAATATGCATTCTTACCCATCAGAAAGTCTTTACTGGATTTCCAGAAACCAATATAGCAATATTTAAGTATTTTATGAAAAGAGAGAGAGAAATATGCTTTTAAGGTTCAAGGCACCCCTTGTTAAGCTCAAGGCATCCTTGAGAAAAATGCCAACTCTTTGTTTTCACTCATTTTTTACTATGAAACAGTAATAAAGAAATGTTCTTTCTGTGTTCTTTGCATTTAGAAACATGAAAGTTCCAGTCTTCTTTAATGCTATGGATTCTTATTTTAAATATTTGGGTTTATCTTGTAAATCACATTTGTACAGCTAACAGTGCTAGCATTAGGTGACACCCTGCAGCACCCCTGAAAGAATCAAGGCACAGCTGGGTGTTGGAGGCAGCCTAGTTGAGAATCACTGACATATATACCCACAAACAGAAGCATAAAAATGTATATCTATCTGTGTGTGCATGTGCATGCACAGAGGAACACAAAGAGCTACTTTTAGAAAACCATACTATGCTCTTACGTGTATGTAAACATTTATTTTAATGTTACCTATGTGAGAAACACTTGCTACATTTTTACTTATTTTCTCCCAACTTGTCCTCAGACCTGAAGTGACCCAATTTGCTAAATCAACTCCTAATTTATCTAATTCATCAGTTTTTACTCTTGTTCATTTTTACCCAATTTCTCTCTAATTTGCTCAAGTATAACTCATTCAGAATTTAAGATTAGAAAGGACCTCATTCTACTTTTAATAAGGGAATGGGATTTTTATTAAAATGGTTAACATATCTTTCAATAAATGCTATAAAATAATTTTGAACCATTAGGGAAATGCATTTCAGTATTTTTAAGGCAGTTAACACAGATTAGTCAACATACCTTAAAAGCTCTAGCAGTAAACATTTTGCTCATTTGACAAACTACAAAAGAAAACATAAGTCCCATAGGCACAGACGCTTACCCACACAGAAAATATTTCTTCTTGGCAGTTATACTTTTAAAAGTAGATCTGTAAAAACAACAAAACAAACTACTCATCAAATCTCTCTCTAGAAAAGGAAGGTGGCTGTCTTATATCAGCCTTGTCAGAAGATTTAACTGCAAGGCTGCATCCACCAAATCAGTTTTCCGGAAACAAAGTATCAGGCAGCATTTTGGCCCATAATCTGTTGACAGGGTATGCTTGTATTTGGAACCCTTGCCCTCTATGGCTCCTTCTCCTCCCCTCCCTTTATTGGAAGGTTTATAGGATTAACCAAACCTAAGGGGGAAAACAGCATTTTGCGGGAAGAAAGTTAAATATATACAGCTCTTATTGAGTAAAGAGCTTTTATCAATTTTGCAAATGCATACAGGGCCCACAAGGACATGGAGTAGAAACAGCATGAACACTCACCATTAGAAACATGGAAAGTTAGAAGTACATGCAGAAGAACACAAACACGCCATTTCAGACGTACAAGGTGCCACAGCCCCAGTGAAGCTCCCCACTTATTGGACTCCTACCACGCTGCTTCATTTGGGCCCCACACACACCCAGCCCATAGGTTTTAAGTCTCCCATCATCCGAATAGGCTGCAGCACTACTCTGTCCTTGCCTTTTTTGGCACACTTCCTGGACATGGGGTCTCTGTCTGTTACTGTCCCTTCACAGAAATGCAATTTCAGTGTCAGTTGCCCTAGGCCCCCAGGCTGAGCCACAAGACTTCCCAGTAGCTCAGGCACAATCTTTCCCAGAACTCTGTCCTTGTGGATGCTCTGATTGCATAATTTACTGCTTTGGGCACTCTACAGAGGCCTTGAAGCATTTAAGAGCAAACATAGTGCATTGAATTTAGCTGGTACTGCTACCACTGCAGGCCTACTTGGGAGCGCCTCATGCATCACATGACCTGGTTAGAAAAAAGCCTGGTGCAGCGGTTAGAGGTGCCTAGAGCAAGCCCTGCTCATTTCTACAATGAGCTCCTTGCTGACCTATTTTCATATTTCTGTTCATCAGTTGATACCTGATTTTTCTGTAGTCAGTTGGACATTAAGGAGATTCCTCTTTCCTTGACTTTTGCAATCATTCTCTCATGTTTTCAGATGGGTCAGAAGGAGGTGGACTCAGATTCTTTTGTTATTATTAAGAGTACTATAGGGCTTTGTTTTTCACGGACTCCTTGGTCCATTTTACTATGTTGCTTCATGAAGTGAGTCCATAAGGGCACTCGTTGGCACTACCCATTATCAGAGGAAGCCAGCCGAGGTACTTCTGTGCATCCCTTTACAAGGATGTAAAGATGATGAATAAAAACAGTACAGCCAAAGAAGAAATGAAATCTACAGAGTAATGATTCCCAAAGGGAGCATCTTATCCTTCCTACAAGCAGTAGCAATACTACACATCTATATAGCCTCCATTTTCCAGAAAGATCCCAAAACAATTTACAGACTAAGTGCAAGAGTTCCTTCATTCCACTCATTGAAATGCAGCCATTTCTAGAGTGGAGGAGGAAAGCAATGCATAGCAACTCCATAAACAGGATCTGCAGAATACATAGAACCCCATTGACAAAACAGGTGAATTTCAGATGTGACAACAATAATTACTCACTTTGGAGTTTCAGGTCTGTTGGCTCCACTGCTTTTATAGGAAGACACTTTCAATTTGCTTTATGCTCTTTCAAACAACCTCAGCACCTGTATATGGAGGGTGAATAGGGAATCAATTTTAGTCCAGTCTTAAGAGATCCATTAACTAAACTTGTGGGGAGGGAAAAAGCAGAGGGAGGGATAAGGAACAATGTGGGGAAGAGTTTAGGAGGGACAGAGAAACTATAAAAAGGAAAGATGAGAGGAGTGTCACGGCACAGGGTCCTGCAGGAGGGCCGTGAGCTCCTCAAGGCCCCCTTCCCGTGCCGGGTTGGCCCAAGGGCACCCTCAAATTCTTGCCTGCCATGTCTTTGATGACAAAATATATTTGGGAGACTGCCTTTTATGCCCTCTTGGTCACATCTTGATGGACACTCAGACCCCATGGTTTCCCAGACCCCTTGTGGGTACCGTTTTGCAATGGGTGCTGCAGGGGCACCCTAGCCTTATGGGCTATGCGTGGCTCCAGCCATCCCTGTATCGCACCCCAAGCCTTGCAGATGGAATGGACCTTGTTCAGTCTTGGCCTTGTTATAATCTGGCCCCTTGTCCTCTCCAGGCCCTGCCCTTTCAATTTGCGCCCTCTCTGGTGCTAGAGCTCTCCATAGCCCTGTCTCACTCTGTGCCCCCTTCTCTACTGGGGCTTCTCAAGTGCTGCCCACTTCTCTACTGGGGCTCTCCACACCTGCACTGGGGCTTCTCATCCAAGCCCCTCTCTCTGGGGCCTCTCAACTGCCCCCTTTCTGGGGCTGAGGTCAGTGCACCCCAACTGCTGCACCCTCACTGGTGCTGGGGTCCCCACACTGCTGTGGGTCCCCTATGAGGCCTCCTCCAATCCCTAATAGCCTCACCCAAACCACCGGTCTTTAAACAGCAACACAAACATAAGTCCCCTCGGCTATAACAGAAAGTAAAGCCACCTGGCTAAAACCATGTTACTCAAACCCCCAGGGATGTGCCATCCTTTACCCAGCTTGGGCTGTACCTGCAGTCAGGCCTCTCCTCACAGCTTTGCTCAAGGAGAGCTCCTTCTTCCCTGGCTGCTGGCAGGGAACTCCCCTCTGGTCTCAGCCCCTAGGGTTTATAAGGGAGCCAGGCCCTACCCCTTCTGGTCAGCTGACCTCCTCTGGTTGCCCTGGCAACCCGCAGCTGGGCTCAACACTCACTGCTAGGGCTCCTTCCCTTGGAATTTTTTCCTTCTTAGGAGCAGGGCACCTAGGTGCTCTGTGACAAGGAGAAAGACCAGATCCCCAAAAGAAAAGATCTTGAACAGTGAAAAAAAATAGTTTTTTAAAACCAGCCAGTTTAACACAGATAAAACAGTATGGAAAAATATGTTTGTTCCCAGATCCGGAATGAGATGCACAGGCAGAAGCCCATTGTGTCCCTGTGAGCTGCGGGACCCCCAAGAGGACCCTGGTGGACCCCAACCCCAACCCCCAGCGCAGCCGGGAGGTAGGTGGGGCCCATGGTGGGAGGAAAGAAGTACAGCTGTGGGCATCGGGGGGGGGCCCCCCCCCCCCCCCCCCAGCACCTGCTTGGCCCAGCCCCCCAGGGAGCCAAGCAACCGGAGCCTTGTGAACAGAATGTGTAAACAGGTGCACTTCTAGGCTCAGCACACGAACTAGCGCAGGAGTTCGTGCAGGTGGACAGGCAGGAGGGCCATGAGGCTCCAGGTGGGGAGCCTGAAGGGAAGGGTCTGCACAGTAGTAGCCAGACTACTACAAGGACCATAGTGGGAGGGACACAATGCACCCCGAAACTCCTCCCTGCACCTGGACCCCCCTGCTCTGGTACCACTGGGGTCTCCATTCAAACAGAGCCCATGGTTCCAGCCTCTACCCAGATAGAGCCTGCGGGACCCACGGCTCCGGCCACCACTCAGACAGGGCCCCTGGCTTCCTGTGGAGGCTACCTGGCATGGATGCAGGCAACTGGGTCTGGGAGCACTGACACCTCCCCTTGTGGGATGTGCTCAACAGTGGAGGCCCTGAAGTGCCAGATTAGGGAACTCCAGGCAACGGTGCAACGGGCTGCAAGCCATTAGAGATGCAGAGCAGGAACTGGACACCTACTTGTAGGCGCTCCACCTGACAACTGACGTCACCTTGGCAGAAATAAAGAGCCGCCATGAGGTCCAGCCAGGGGTTGCCTGGATGGAATTAGTCTCTGGTCCTAGGAGGCACTGCACCATGGTGACCGTTCCCCTGGAGTTGCACAACCATTTCAAACCCCTCATATCAGCTGAGTCGGCCCAACTCCCAGCCCCAACATGTGAGGAAGGAGGGCCACCAGCAACTGCACCCAGAAGGAGACGCAGAGTAATCGTGGTGGGTGATTCCCTCCTGAGGGGGACAGAGGGTCCAATCTGTCACCCAAACCCCGTAGCCCATGAGATTTGCTGCCTTCCTGGGGCTCGTGTCTGTGATGTGACTGAGAGGATCCCCAAACTCATCCAGTCCTTAGACCACCATCCCATTCTACTCATCCACGTGGGCACAAATGACATGGCTCAGAGTAATCCTGGCCAGGTCATGCATGACTACTGAGCTCTGGGGGCTGGGCTCAAGGGTCTGGGGGCTCAGGTAGTTTTTTCCTCGATCCTCCCAGTCATGGGTCACGGGCATCAGAGGGATAGATGCATCGGTGAGGTGAACAGAAGACTCCGGTGATGGTGCCATCATGAGGGGTTTGGCTTTGACCACACTCCACACTTCAGTGAGAGAGGTAGCAGACTGTTTGAAGGGATGGCCTCCACCTCACCTGGAAAGGGAAGAAGCTCTTCTTGACCAGAAGGGCTGACCTACTTGACAGGGCTTTAAACTAAGATCACTGGGGGATGGGCAGTCAATCAACAGTTCTAGCCCTGGTCATGCCAATCACAGTAGTAACAGGGAGGCCAAGGGAATCCACTCTGAGGAAAGCCCAAGAAAGCTCACGTCCCATCACTTAAGGAAGCCTAGGGCTTCCCATGGCAGACTCAGTTGCCTGTACACAAATGCCAGGAGCTTGGGTAACAAGCAAGAGGAGCTGGCCATTCTGACTGATAAAGAGGGATAACAGAGATCTGGTGGGACTCCTCCTATGACTGGCCGGTAGGTATAGAGGCTATACCCTCTACAGGGGTGATTGTGTTGGGAAGAGGGGTGAGGGTGTAGCTCTCTATGTCAAGAAGCAGTACACTTCCCTTCAAACTAAGTTCATTAACCATGGAAGGCATCTTGAGACCCTCTGGATTAAAATACCAGGGGAGCCTGGGGAAGGAGATATACTCATACGAGTCTATTACAGACCTCCTAACCAAAAAGAAGAACTGGATCTTGAATTCAATAGGGAATTGTGGTCGAGGCCACACATTCCCAATGTATGATCATCATGGGAGACTTCAACCTCCCAAACATCTTGTGGGAAGAGCACATGGCCAAGTCTGACCGGTTGCATAACTTTCTCGCCTGCATTGATGACCTGTACCTGACACGAGGTCTACGGGCCAATTAGGGGAGAGGCGGTGCTGGATTTCATAGATTTCATAGACAGTTGGGCTGTAAGGGGCCCCGGAGGATCATCGAGCCCAGCCCCCTGCCCCAGGGGCAGAAAGTCAGCAGGGATCATAGGATCCCAGCAAGATAAGTATCCAAATGTGTCTTGAAGGTATTCAAAGTGGGTGCTTGAACCGCCTCTGGCAGCAGTCTATTCTAAACCTTGGGGACTTGGACAGTGAAGAAGTTCTCTCTTAAGTCCAGCCTGAATCAGTTGCGGCAGAGTTTGTGACTGTTCGATCTTGTCATTCCTTGGGGCACACTGGTGAACAGACGTTCCCCCAGATCCTGGTGAATACCCCTGATAAACTTACAGGTGGCCACCAGATCACCCCTGAGTCTGTGCTTTTCCAGGCTGAAGAGTCCCATGGCTCTCAGCCTCTCATCATAAGGTCTGTTTTCCTGACCTCTGTTCATGCGTGTGGCTCCTCTCTGCACTCTCTCAAGCTTCTCCACATCCTTTTTGAATCGTGGAGCACAAAACTGGACGCAGTACTTGTGGTCAACCATGACCCCCAAGTCCCTTTCATCTGTAGTGCTAACCAGCATAGCACTACTGAGCCTATAAGCATGCTGCAGGTTTTTCCTCCCAAGGTGGAGAACTTTGCATTTTTCAGTGTTGAACACCATCAGGTTCTCATCCGCCCATTTCCTGAGCCTGTCAAGATCCACCTGGATCACCCTCCTGTCCTCAGGTGTGGATGCTTTACCCCAGCGTTTGGTGTCGTCGGCAAACTTGGCCAGTCTGCGTCTGACACCAATGACCACATCATTGATGAAGATGTTAAATAGTATAGGCCCTAGGACAGAGCCTTGAGGGACCCCACTGGTCATAGGGCACCACGACGATTGACTTGCGTCAACCACCACCCTCTGGGTCCTACCGCAGAGCCAATTCCCCAGCCAGCGGATCGTGGTGAGGTCGAGGCAGCAGTTAGCTAGTTTAGCCAAGAGGTGATCATGGGATACCAGATCAAAGGCTTTTTTAAAGTCAAGATATACAACGTCAATCTCTTCCCCCTTGTCCAAGTGACAAGTCACCTGGTCATAAAAGGAAATGAGATTGGTCAAGCAAGACCTACCCGCAACAAATCCATGCTGGGTATCCCTCAGGATATTGCCTTCAGCTAGTCTGTTAAGGATGACTTCTTTGATAATCTTTTCCAAGACCTTCCCCGGGATAGAGGTCAGGCTGATGGGCCTGTAGTTTGCCGGATCTACTTTACTCCCTTTCTTGAAGATAGGCACGACATTGGCCCTCTTCCAATCATCGGGCACTTCAGCAGAGTGCCAAGAGCTCTCAAAGATCCATGCCAGGGGCTGAGCTATGATGCTTGTCAGCTCCCTGAGTACCCTTGGGTGTAACCGGCTGTCTTGAAGGTATCTAGCCTGTCAAGGTGTTCCTTCACGAGGTCAGCTTCACTGGAGGGCAAGGAATCTCCCTCACCTGGGCCTCACTGACCCATAGTGGACAGGGCCGTCCCATGGGACTGGTGAAAAACTGACGCAAAGTACCCAGTTAGCAAGTTCACTTTTTTTGCAGTCTGGTTAAGGTCAAAGGGGATGATCTGGTGAGTGATCTGAGGATCTAGGGCAAGCTTGGTGACAAGGACCATGATCTGATTACTTTCTCTGTCCAACACAGGGTGGGCAAATCTCTCAGTAAAACAGAAATTCTCAACTTTGGAAAGGCTGACTTTCACATACACTGGAGACTGGTCAGTCAGGCACTAAGGGACCATTGCCCCCTAGGAAGGGGAGTCCATGAGGAATGGTTGTTCCTAAAGAACTCAATCCTCAAAGTGCAAGTGAAGTCCATCGTGTCCCACAGGAAATACAGTCAGAGGGCAGGGAAGGCCCCTTGGCTCAACAGGGAACTTCTGGGTCTCCTGAAACTGAAAAGAAAAGCCTACACCAGATGGAAAACTAGAATCATCACCAAGAAGGACTACTCAGCACTAGCCCTTACCTGTAGGGAGTGGTCCAAAACAGTCAAAGCAGTAACTGAACTCAGGCTAGCCACCGGAATCAAGGATAACAAAAAATTGTTTTTCAGATATGTGGGAAGTCAGAGGAAGAACAAAACCAACATTGGCCCCCCTGTGAGATCAAATGGGGCAGCTGACATCTGACTCTCAAAAAAGGCCAATCTCCTAAACAATTACTTTGCATCAGTTTTCCACCCATCCAAGGGAGTCATGCTGTCAGACAGGATGCAAAGTATCTGGGGCTTGGGAGATGGGCCCACAATTGACGTAGATCAAGTGAAAGAACACCGCAAGAGGCTTGACATCCATAAGTCTGTGGGCACCCGAGAGTCTTAAAAGAGCTGGTGGACATCATAGTATGCCCTATGGCCAAGATATTTGAAAGCTTGTGGCGCTTGGGTGATGTACCGGAAGACTGGAAAAGAGCCAACGTGGTCCTAATCTTCAAGAAACGGATGAAAGAAGATCCAGGGAATTACTGACCTATCAGTCTGACATCCATCCCTGGAAAGATCTTGGAGAAAATTATCAAGGGATCCATCTACAACAGGCTAATGGAAGGCAACCTACTGAATGCCAACCAACACAGTTTTATTACTGGAAGGTCTTGCCTGACCAACCTCATCTTCTATGGCCAGGTGATGCATTGCCTGAACAAGAGAGATGAGGTTGATGTAATTTATCTGGATTTCAAGAAGGCCTTTGACTTGGTCTCCCATGATGTCCTCATGACCCAGCTGGGGAACTGTGGCCTCGACCATCTCATGGTTCTATGGCTGGGGCACTGTCTCTGGGGTCAGACCCAAAGGGTACTAGTTGATGGGAACAAATCAACATGATGCAGGGTTACCAGTGGAGTCCCCCAGGGCTCAGTGCTTGGGCTGGTACTGTTAAATATCTTAATGATCTGGGTTTGGGTATCAGATGC